ATAAACAGAAAATTCAAGATTAAATACATTTAAATACATTTACCTGACTGCGTGCGTGTTTGATGCTTACAACTGTGAGTTTCTGTTACATAATCAACATTGGTTGTGACAATGAACGGGCAAGACCGCACGCGCCTCCAAAGCTTTCGGTGAATTGAATTTCAAACGAGATAACGAAAGCTCTCTAATGACTGAAGTTACTGTATGATTGTTTTATATTTTTAATAAAACTAATTTATTCTAATTTTAAATATATTTTCCCTGAATTTGTGATTACGAACCGTACTCATGCTTAGACTAAATGCGTGACAAATTTAAGGTCACGCATGTGTTTCTGCCAAATGCTTGTTACGTCCTATGCGTGTTTCATCCAAAATCACTTTAAAATGCGGGACCGTCCCGCACGATGCGAGACGGTTGGTAACTATGAGGTTAGCATGTCTTTTGTAAGCCAGGACCCGATAGTGTTTTGTTACGTTTCTTCACAGTTGGGGGGGGGGTTCTTCCGAACAGCTTGACCCCCTCCCCTACCATGGATCCGCCACTGCAGAAGCTTTTTCGCACTGGGGCAGTGTCGATAGAAAACAGCAGCTCTTTTCGCACCGCGACAGTACCGAGAGCCTCAGCCGAACAATGAATGTATATATGTATGTTATGAATGAATTTGATTACTTAAATCATCATATTTTAACAACTTGCAGGTTGAGTCATGATCATACCACACGCGTACTATACTTTATTTGTGAGTATTCGCCACTCATAGACTCAAGTAATATTACGGTCCAGGATTGGCAAAAACTTGCCGGTGACATAGAAGACAACTACAAAGATTACAATGGATTTGTGATTGTACACGGTACCGACACCATGGCATACACGGCCTCTGCGCTTTCATTCATGTTTGAAAACCTCGGAAAACCTGTCATCTTAACCGGGTCTCAGATACCATTGGAAGAAACCCTTAGTGATGGTACCGGAAACTTACTTGGTGCTGTGTATCTTGCCGGAAATTATCCCACAATTTCAGAGGTTAGAGAAATGATGATGATGATGATGATGATGATGATGATGATGACGATGATGATGATGACGATGATGATGATGACGATGATGATGATGACGATGATGATGATGACGATGATGATGATGACGACGATGATGACGACGATGATGACGACGATGATGACGACGACGATGACGACGACGATGACGACGACGATGACGACGACGATGACGACGACGATGATGATGACGACGACGATGATGACGACGACGAAGACGATGATTATTATTATTATTATTATTATTATTATTATTATTATTATTATTAATAATAATAATAATAATACAGTATCAAAGTGACAAATCCACTTGCTTACTTGATAAATGATGAAAATAATATCAGAAACATACATTGTTCCAGATATTCAATAAAATTATATAGGCGTATAATATACCTGCACATTTCATATTTCTTAAAATGTTTGAAAACATACTTTTAACAAACATCAATACACATTTTAAGTACATTCGTTTATTCAGCAAAATATATTCATATCAAAAAAATTCCTTACATTACAATGAGTTATTGATACGTCATTAAACAACGTTACGCACTACCTGATCAAAGAACCTTCGTTTGCAAAATACATAACATTAAATTAGAGCTGTCACTGAATTAACATAAATATGGAAATATGTATCCACTACTGTATTTATTTTGGATAATCCGGTCAAACAATGTTATTATGATATTCGTATGATATAAAGACATTGTTCATCATTGTTGATATTTTTAGGTAACATTATATTTTGATTACAAGCTGTTTCGGGGGAATCGTGTCACAAAGCTTGTTAACAACGAACTGAATGCCTTTGGATCACCTAATCTTGACCCGCTTGTCAGAATGGAAATCGACGTGGTAGGTACGTACGTACAGGCATAATTTCGTTAATAATAGAGGATACACATAAATCTCGCGTCAAATTCACAATGTAATAGAAAAGGCTGAAAACCGTAACTAGTGGTGACCAGGAGCGTATAGATTCAGGTGGGATAATTTAATAATTATTATCGTTTTTATTTGTTTATTCGGTACTGACATGTACTTCTTCAGTTATTTCAATGTGGTAAGCAGTGACGTAACAACAATAAGCCCTCAGTACCAGCTAAAACTAGGGGCTATATCTTGAGGGGCCCCGGGATAATCATCAGCATTTTCCAACTTTTCCCCGAATCAGCCGAGAAAATGTAAAACATCAAATTACGTTCTTGAACAGACAATTGACGAGTCATGCATGGCACTGGATCTACGTAGACCCAGTCCCACTGGTAGTATGGCCCACAAAAGTATTATCCAGGGCCCCAGAATTATTTGTTACATCAGTTTTCTTAATTGACGTATAATATGTTGTCACGCTATATTTTTCTTTTCAGTGGACTGGGATAGTATATTGCAGCCGAAGTCTATCGAGAAATTTAAAGTTTTCACAAATCTCAACTGTAATGTTGGTTTACTGCGGCTCTTCCCTTCTATTACTGTGGAAACTGTAAGTATTGCAAGCAAATTCTCAGTTTGGCAATCGCTATTGTTACATTAGTCTTAAACGAATAATTAATTCTTTTTGGATGTTGCGGTACTGTCCAACAAAATCCAACTAGTATTAGGAAATCATTTTAGACTGGTGTAACAGCCACTGTATGTTAATGAAAATAACATTCAAGATCAATCATTTTCTATAGTTAACATGGTGTAATAAATAGTATGTATTTGCACTATCACGCTCATAATGAGTCTAACATCCCAAAATATATTTAAATTTAGTATTTGCATTACGGAATTTTTATACAGTTCATAGTTGCCAGTTTGTACTAAATCAGTGTGTAAGGCATATATTATTTCGTCAATGCGAATGTAATTTAGAGCCGGACAATTAAAAATAAAATGGTGGATATCCTCAACAGAATTAAGTTTGCATAATTTACATTTCTTGTTATTATCCGGATTCCATTTTGAAGTTCTATTGTTTAATGGTAAGGTTAGACCTGAGTTTGAATTTTAATGCAATAAATGGCATTTTCTCTTTTGTTACTGAGCCGATTTAAACCAAATTTTCACTAATGTTCAGATTGCAACAACAACAACAACAACAACAACAACAACAACAACAACAACAACAACAACAACAACAACAACAACATATTAATAATATTAATATTATTAAATAATAATAATAATAATAATAATAAATACTAATCAGTAATAATAATAAATAATAATAATAATAATAAATAATAATAATAATAATAATAAATAATAAATATTAATAATAATAATATTAATTTTAATATTATTAATATTAATAATATTAATATTAATATTAATATTAATATTAATATTAATATTAATATTAATATTAATATTAATAATATTAATAATAATAATAATATTAATTATTATTCCCCAGAAAGTGTATATTTTTTGTAGTTAGGCCTACCTAGGTATGCAAAACCCAGACCTAACTAAAAAATAAAAATTGCCACAGTATGTAACTCAAATTAAAATGACACTTTTTCACTCGTGCAGCTCAATCAAATATTATGTCATTTTAAACGACCCATTAGTATTAGCATGGTAACATCAATGTATTTTTTAAAAATCAGACAGCGACGTTCTCTCAGATCAGAAGATGTTGATGACCTTTTGACCTGAATTCTGCAATATGAGATTTTCGGGTCGATTCAGTCGAGACGGCCCGAGTGGAGATGTAAATGTTTCGTACGAAAAAAAAAATCGCGAGCGGAACGTTGTTGTTGTTTTTCGATCATGGCTGTTGACCGGGTTTTTTTTTTTAAATAAAGAAAAAAAACAAAGTTTAAATGCGATTGTGTTCCTTTATGACAGTGAGCAGTACTAAAATATTGGAAAGCGTCAGTCCAAATGGAAGCAGAGCGAGGTTAAACTGTATGTTAATCCTGAAAACTCTCACTGTTCCTCCGAACTTAGGCCTAGTAAATGCTAGCCTAAGACTAGGATATGTGAAAATAACGTTACGGTCCAGCAACAAACAGCGTTGAGACAACCTGAATAATTAATATAGCCTGGAGCGCGGTGCTCCTAATGGCATCAGCGAGTCGGCTGTTTCAGCTAATTCTAGAACATTCGAAACACTGCGAGTGAATATTTATAACACTTTGGATGTAAAGGCCTATGATGAGCGTCGTACGATTATGCTAGTATATTGAACATTAAATAAACAACGACGAATAAAGAATAAAAAGTGTAGTGAACTTTACATGATAATTCCAATTCTGTAAACATTGTGTTTTGTTGTGATATTAAACATTAGCAATGGCGGAGGAAATAAATAAATTAAAAATAACACGTAGAAACAGAAATGGTGCTCTGACCAGAGCATTATCGGGGATTGCGAACTTGTTGAAAGAAGGTGTTTATGAACAATAGAGGTAGAAAGCAGAATCTTAATGTCTAGACAAATGTATGCAACAATTGAAGAAGCGCATGGGGAGTTGATTAACCTAATAGAAAATGAGGATGATTATTTAAAAGAAGTTAGAATGGATGGAAAATTGTCAAACGGAATATATGTCAGCGATACAGGAATTGAAGAGCCGAATAAAATTTAAAGAGAAGGAGAATAATGAAACTGACAATGGAAACACCAGTATCAATAATGACACAGTGAACCCAAGTAATGGTAGCAACAATGAAAACACCAGTAAAAACAGTGACACCATGAACCTAAGTAATGGCAGTAGCAATGAAAACACCAGTATTAACAGTGATGCCTTGAGCCCAAGTAATGGCAGTAGCAATGGAAACACCAGTACTACTAATAGTGATAAAAGGACTAAAGATAATGTAGTGAGTAATGACATAGCCCTAAGACTGGCTTTGGAATTACCTAAGGCTGAGGTTAGTGACTTCAATGGGGAACCAGGTAATTATTGGGCATTTATGTCCAATTTCGAAACAAATATCGCAGCTAGGTTAAGTAATGATAGTTCCAAACTACACTACTTGCTGCAGTTATGTAAAGGAAAGGCTAGGACATGTATTGAAAGTACTGTGTTGTTGGGTCCTGAAGGTTACCATCAGGCATTATAAATCCTGAGAAAACAATTTGGCCAACCCCATTTGGTACTGAATGCTTTAATAGGTAATCTTTTAAATAGGAAACCTTTAAATGGAGGAGATCATAAAGGGTTATGGTTGCTGGTGGGAGACATGAAAAAGTGTCGCATAACTAAAATGGGTTATACAAATGACTTAAATAGCACGTCAAACTTACTCAAAGTTCAGGGGTTATTACCAAAATTCCTACAGGCTAAGTGGGCCAATGTTGCCCATGAGATACTTCAGAAACGAGAACCCATCTTCCAAGATAAGAAGGTCAGGCAGAAGTTAATAGCACTATGTTTGGAAATCAGTTGAGGTTAAAAATAAAAAGTCTTTCATAGCTGTACGAAGCCAGAGAGAAATTATGATAAATGTGTGTGTTGTAAGGTATCCATATGTTGTGGGAATGCCATGAGTTCAAAGATAAACATGTAGATGATCGATGGAATCTAGCCAGCAAAGAAAAATTGTTTAGGTAATCACATGTCTAAGACTTGTACACGAATAATGTCATGCGGTATTAATGGTTGTCAAAGCGACCATAATAGATTGTTACATAGGACAAGAAATAATGATAAACTTGTAGGAAATTCTAAGGTTCCCATAGAAGGGGAGGGAACAAGTACCAGGGGTCAGGCAAATAGGCCTATCACGATGTTAAATCAGTCATTCATTCAGTTGCCTTACGTACTATACCTATAATAGTAAGCAAAGGTTGTAAACATATGCAGGTAAATGCTTTGTTAGATGATGGTAGTACGCAAACGTACATAAATACAGACCTGTATGGGGAGTTAGGGCTCCATGGGCAAAGTGAAGAAATAGTTGTTAGTTTGTTGAATGGTAAAGAAGAAAGGTTTATTACAAGGCCAGTTACATTTAGCGTATCATCAGTAGACAATAGATCGAGAAAATACACACTGGATGCACTGATTGCAAATTATGTAACAGGTAAATTAGAACACCCAGAGTGGAACAGAATAAGCAAAGATTTGGATAATTTGAAAGGCATAGAATTCCCAGTAGTTAATACTAAAAGGTAAGTCGTGGTTATATTGATAGGTGTTGACCATCCTCAGCTACACACTGCCTTAGAAGAAAGACACGGAAAGCCAGGAGAACCAATAGCCAGACGTACACCCCTTGGCTGGACTCAAAAACATATAAAAGCAATGTATTGAGTTTACAAGAGACAGAGGAGGTTATGCGCACGTTTTGGGAAGTAGAGAATGAAGGTTTAATTAAAAGTGGGGTTAAATTGTATACTAAAGAGGAAGAGCTGGCAGTTAAGGTGGTTACAGAGTCGATGTGTAGTAATGGAGAAAGGTACCAAGTCAAGGTTCCATGGAAAGAAGATGAGAAAAAAGAAATGCCTAAAACCAACTACGAAATGGCGGAGAAGAGACTCACAAATTTAGAGAAATGAAAAAAGATACAATCTTGGGAGCTGCATACCAAGAGGTCGTGGATAGTTATCGGGAAAATGAGTATATAAGAAAGGTGAATCCAGAAGAAAAACATAATCTTGAGCAGCAATGGTTCCTTCCACACTTTCCTGTAGTTAAGCTAGATAGAGAAAAAAACCAAAGTCAGGGTAGTGTATGATGCTTCTGCTCCGTATCGTGGAGTGTCTCTAAATGATGTCCAAAATTACAAAATAATCTGTTCGATGTGTTCGAAGAAATTCAGTAGCTGTGGTCTGTGACATATCTGAGATGTATCTACAAATAGAGTTGGCTAATGAAGATAAGCAAATGTTTAGGTTTTTATGGCGAGATTTAGATGCGAGTAAAGAGCCAGAGTTATATGAATTTAACAGATTAGTATTTGTAGTTAATGAGTTTATTTCCCAGAAGGTTGCACAAGAAAATGCTAAGTTACTTGAACGTTGGTATCCTCTAGCAGCAGAAACAGTATTAATGAGTACATATATGGATGATAGCATGGACTCGGTGAATGATGTGAAAACAGCGGTTGAGTTGTACAATCAACTAATGGAGTTATGGGGGAAAGCTGGTATGAAGGCGAGAAAATGGTTATCTAATTCTAAGGAGGTTTTGGAGGCGATACATGAACACCAAAGATTCAAAGAACTGAAATTAAATGAAAGTGAATTGCCATCAGTAAAAACTTTAGGATGAATGAGGAAAGCTGAAAGTGATGTATTTGTTTTCAGAGGACCAGGGGGGTCTATAGAAAACATGACAAAGAGAAATATTTTAAGTAAAATTGCGACATTGTTTGATCCGCTTGGTTTTATATCACCAGTGATTATTTCTGCAAAGATACTGCTCCAGGAGCTCTGGACACTGGGAGTATCTTGGGATGAACTTGTACCACAAACTGTAGCAAACGGTGTAGCGGACTGGTTGAGTGGTTTACAAGATCTACAGAAATTAGAAGTTCAAA